GTGCTGATATGCACAGAGTTTGGAGGAAGATATTGAGGATCCTGCACTATCTCTATGCCTTATTCCTTTGAGGCAGGATCTCTTGCTGAACTAGGAGCTACACTGGCTGGCCAACCAGCCCCAACAATTCTCCCTTATGGCCAGTGGACAGCCCTGGGGTTATAGGCACCTGTGTCTGTTCCCAGCTTTTTCTGTGGCTGCTTGGAATCCAAACTCAGACCCTCATGTGTCCACAGCAAGCACTCTCACCCACTAACCCATCATCTCCCCAGCCCCTGTTTTGGTTGGTGTTTCTTGTTGATTTTGAGAGAGTGTCTTGCTAGGTAGTCCCTGGGACCCTGATCCCATGAGACTTCTGCAGCCATGCTCATGGAGGAAGAAACATATAAGGCAGCCTTAGCAGCCCTGAGTCCCAACCCAGCTTTGCAGGCACTGTCCTATGCCTGCAGGGAAATGAGCTGGCCTCAGAGCACTGGCCTCTTGTTTAGACAACATACTGAGAGAGCTGTCTCACAATGTGGTTGGGGGGGGGGAGACTAAATGCCATAAATTAAATTAATGTCAACTGCAACACCTGAACACTTTGAACTTATCTGAGTATAGCCCATGTGAGGCTCTCTGGACTCTGGGGAAGTAATGGGTCACAGACGCCCTAGGATACCTCTTGTCTCCATCTGAACTCTGTACTGGGTTTTCCTGGCCGATTAGCATTTGTTTTCATTAAGGTTGGCTAAGCCCAAGCAGTCACTGCCCTGGAAACCTGATGGGGGATGTCTGTCAGTATATATGTTTCTCTAATTGGTTGATGAATAAAATACTGATTGGCCAGTAGCCAGGCAGGAAGTATTGGTGTGGCTTCAGATGAGGAGAATGTTGGGGAGAGGATGCAAAGAGAAGCTGCCAGGGAGAGGCCATGTAGTGGCCAAAAGGAGTAACATGCTGGAGCATTATAGATAAGCCACAGCCTTGTGGCAATATACAATTTAATAGAAATGGGTTAATAATTAAGAGAGAGCTAGCCAATAAGACACCTGAGCCATCAGCCAAACAGATTTTTGTTTGTTTGTTTTTGTTTTGTTTTGTTTTTAGCATCTGAACTTATATCCATACACATACATGGGTGGGCACACACATATTTATTGTTTAAAATAATATCAATCTTTTTTTTCTTATTTTACATATCGATCCCAGTTCCCTCTTTGCCCCTCCCTCTTTTCGCCCCTCCCTCTTTTCCCCCCTCCCATGAACCCCAACCACCCTCCCATCCCATTCCCCCACACACACTCCACAGGGAGGGTAGTGTCTTCCAGGAGGGGTCAACAATCTGTCAAATCATTTGGAGTAGGGACTAGGCCCTCCCTCCTGCCTCTAGGTTAAGGGAGTATCCCTCCATGGGGAACACGCTCCCAAAGTCCTTTTGTGTACCAGGGATACTCTGTGTATTTATTTGGGGCTAAACAATTGTGGGACAGGAACCTCTGTCTACAGAAACCCTAAGTTCTCAAGGAAAACAAGAACTTCTCTAGTAACACCCAGCCTACCTGGGCTCAGGTCTGTCATCTTCCAGGCATGGAAGAAAGGTTTCAGAGCACTGCCAAGGTAGGAGGGCCCTATGTAGAACAAGGTTCGTCAATGCACAGAACTTCATCTTTTATTCATTTGGTCTGCATGGTGTTTTGGAACCATCTGGATGAGTTGCTGAGACTGAGAAACCAAGGACTTCCACCTGACCCTGTGCTCACCCTCCAGCTCTGGCAACGAATGCCCGCACTATGGAGCTATTTCCCTTAACACTGGGTTCCAATACTGCAGCTTGCCAGTCCTACCTAGCCCTCAACTCCAGGGTTTCCAGCCAAGTTTCATAGCCATGCAGATTTGTATCCTCTAGCTGGTGGTTGCTGCACAAATCTGTGTACATGTATAGGCAACTTCCAGGGTCCCCAACCCCCATTTACTCACTTCCCAGCATCTATACCCCATACAGAGGTAAGCCCCTATTTAGATGAGTCTTCCATGCTTCCCTTCAAGTCAGACTGACTACTGAATGCTAGATTCTCTGTGTTATCATGTGGATACTTCTGTTCCCTCCAAAATTCATCTTGGAAGTTTAACATTCTGTTAAGAGAGAGAGAGGTGTTTGGGTCGTGAGCACACCCCTCTCTCATCAAATTAATGCCACTATAAAGCCGACTTTCAGGAGTGAGTTCCCTTTCCTCTTAGACTTTTTTGCCTCATGAGGGAAGACACAATGTCCCTCCCCTCCAGACAATACAACATTCAAAATGCAACCCTGAAAGCAGAGACGAGGCTCCTAACCTGCTAGTGGCTTGCTCTTTGGGCTTCCTGTGAGAAACAGCTGTCTTTTATAATTATTCAGTCTGTAGTCATCTGTCTGAGGAGCCAATGTAAATGCCATCTTTCTTGTAGACTCAAGCATGACTATTTCCACCCTCTCCACCTCCATCACTGTCTTCTGGATTACCCTCCTTAGAGCACAAACATGCAGCCATTTTTTCCCTCTTAATCAAGCCTTCTCTTCCTACTCCACTAACATCAGATCTCGATGTTTTCCTGTGCAGCCAAATCGAAGGAGTGGCCAATGCACCCATCGGCACCAATCTACCTGCCCCCAGCCTTTCTTAAGATTACCCCAGTCAGGCTTCGGTATTACTGCTCAACCAAATCTGCTCTTAAAGATATCACTAGTTCTGTGTGCTACTAAATCTAAGGGTGGACTCTTTGGCTTTCCTTATTGCCATGTCAGCATTATAGTTTAATTTAAAAACGTTTTAAAAACTATGATTATGTGTGTGCATTTGTGTGGGTACACATGTGCCACACCTTGTGCGTGGAAGTCATCTCTCTCCTTCCATTTGTGGGACATAGGGATCAAATTCAGGCTGTCAGGCCTGGTGGCAAGTGTCTTTACCCACTGAGCCACCTTGCCAGCCCCATGCAGCACTGTCTGTCAAGGCGGGTCCTTCACCTCTGTCAGGCTTCCTTCAGTTGATGTCACACACCACTGACTCAGGGCTAATGGCCTTTTAATTCTTCCAAGGCTCTGTGCCTTTTCCTCAACCAAAGTGCCTTCAGACTCAAAGCTCTCCAGTAGCCAAAATGCTCAGGACCAGAAGTGTCACAGATTTGTTTCAGATCTTCTTTTCCTTCTCTTCTTCTGATTTTGAAAATGTGCAATGCATACTTACATATCTTGGGAAAGGGGCCCAAGTTTAAGAATAAAATTCACTCATTTTTTGTTTATAACTTATCCACACATCCTGGAAGTAATTCTAGGCAATATTTTAAATACTTTTTGGTACATGAAACAAAAATTCCATGATGTGAAACTTAGTTGAGTTGGTGATCAAAGTTTTAGATTTTGGAGCATTTTGAACTTGTGGTTGATGGGTCAAGGATGCTCTGAAATGCATTCTCTTTTTCCCTACATTCCTTACATTCTGCGGAGGTCTCGTGCAATCTTACATCTCCACGCAAGGAACTCCCTAATTTGTGCCTCAGCAAAGGCTTTGTCCGGAACTCCAGGCTCATATATCCCACAGCTATACGGCCCTCCATTTTATACATCTCAGATTAAATTACGAATCTTCCCCTGAACCTGTCCCTCCTATGGTTGCTTCTCTGACCAGGGACTCCATGATGGTCTGATAGTTTCTCAACACACACTGCTGTCAGCACTCTCTTAGTTGGGTTACTGAGCTAAGGGCTCTTCCTGCTTCCTTGATTGTACCCCTGCTGTCTACTCACAGTGTAGCAGCAGGAAAACCTGTAGCCCCACAAGTCACATCTTGTTACACCTTAGCTGATAACCCCTAAGGACTCTTCTCCTCTCATAAGGGCCAGGCCACCGCTATAAGAATGAGTTCTTGTCTTGTACAGAAACAGCTGACCTAAGCTAGTGGGAACTCACAGACTCTGGACTGACAGCTGGGGATCCTGCATGGGACAGAACTAAGCCCTTTGAATGTGGGTGACGGTTTTATGACTTGATCTGTGGGCGGTGTGGGGGGAGTGGCAGTGGGATTCAGACTTTATCTGGGGCACATGAACAGGCTTTTTGGAGCCCATTCCCTATGGTGGGATACCTTGCTCAGCCTTGATTCAGGGGGGAGGGGCTCGGTCCTGCATCAACTTGGTAGATCAGACTTTGTTGACTCCTCAAAGGAGGCCTTACCCCTAGGAGGAGTGAGTGAGGGTGAGGTGGGGGGAAGTGGGGGAGCGGGAGAAGGGGAGGGAGGGGACCTGTGGCTAGTATGTAAAGTGAAAAAAATGTAAATAAATTGTTTTGCCAAAAAAAAAAAAAAAAGAATTCTTATTGAACTACATAAGTTCCTCTGCATTCACCCTACCCCTCTTCCCTCACCCCTTCTGCTCTGCCATCTCACCAGCTTGTTAGGACTCCCCAGTTCCAAGTGTATAATAAGCACTTGATAAATACTTCTTAAATGTTGTGTGTGAATTTCTTAGAAGGACCATGTCTTTGCTAAGGTAACCAGAGTCTTAAGGTTCAAAAAATATTTTTTTTGAAGAACAAATACTTCTAAAAAATGAAAGTGTTGGGAGGGAGAGCAACTAAAGTTCTAATTTTAGTTCTAGTCCTCAAAGGGTCTTTCTGGCTGAGAGCCAACATCAGGCCAGTATTTATTGCCCATGCTTTGAGTCTCTCGCACATATGGACCAGCCTGTTGTGCCTGACAGTGGCAGTGTTGGGTCCACTTCTTGAGCCACAGGAGACTCTGAATAGGAGGCCAGACAGCAATTCTACATCCCATGAGCCACAGGAGACTCTGAATAGGAGGATATATAGCAATTCTACATCCCATGAGCCATAGGAGACTCTGAATAGGAGGATAGATAGCAATTCTACATCCCATGCAGGAGGTCCCCCAGCATCAGCAGAGAGGAGAGAGGCCATGAGATTTACCATGCAAGTGGGCACTGTATGTGAAGTAGGTGCTGGGAGCAACAATAACAGCAGTAAATACAGAACAGAAAATAACCATCTTTGAAATGACAACAAACAGGACACATTATCTAAGCACTAACACCTAAGGAGGTGGCTGCCCAGCCCTGGAAGGGCAGCTCCTCAGGAGACAGAGGCCGACTTTCCAGGTTGCCTGGTCGTCTTCAGTCCTTGTAACTTTTCATCTTTCAGCGCCTTCAGGAATTTATCTGCAGGAGAGCAAAACAGACTCAACTGTGGCCGTGAACGTTTCTGGGTTTTTTTTTTTTTTGTTTGTTTGTTTTGTTTTTGTTTTTGTTTTTGTTTTTTTTTTAGGGTCCTCCTATGTAGCTCCAGGCTGGCTAGAACTCAATCCCTCTGCCTCAGCCTCCTAAGTACTGGGATTCCAGTACACTGAGGAGGAATCTTCTAACTTCCAGAGCAAGCTTCTGAGAAGTAATTTGTGCACATCCCTAAGCCCAAACATACCTAACTCATATATAACTGAAAAGGCCAGTTCTAGGGACTGTCTCCCATGGCTATGAAAAAGTGTATCCTACAGGGTATCAGATGAATTTGAGACCATTCCCATGGCCATGCATACCTAAGTACATAGGTCTGCTTGTTTTGTTTTGTTTTTTTCATACTTCACCTGTCTGTGTGGCAGAGGGGAGCAATTTAATCTGTTGTAGAGAACAGGTGAAATGGTCTTTCCAGTGCCACCTGCCATCCTCTAGTAGTCAAATTCAAGCCTTATGATCATGAAAAAGGACAGTCTACTGCTGCTAATTCCTGAGCTGGAAATGCAGCTGAATTTTACTGCCTTGCTGTCCAATAGAGAGGAATCAGTTCATATACCAGAGGACTCCTGCTTACATCAACACACTTGGTCTGCTCTGGTGTAGATCCCTAAGTCCTCAGATCTGAGATCAGAGGTCAGAGTCCAAGATCCTTTTCAGAGGGCTATAGGGAGTGGGGCCCGTGAAAGGGCAGAGGCCAGGGCTCCTCAGAGAATGACTGATGGCCTCCAAGATTTGGGCAATCCCTACCATCTCCTCCCACCTACAAACCCCAGTTTAAGACTGAATAGTGAAGGTTAAAGTCTCTGGAGACAGGCACCCTGTGGTGGGTGGAGCTCCAGACTACAGAAGTGTAGGAAGGTGAAGTGTATGTAGCAAGGGAATGCTTCACGTGTCAAGACCCAGAGTCTACATTGCCTCTGCCTCGTCAAGGGTGAACCCCCGAGGGGAGGAGTTCAAAACTAAAGGGCTTGATTAGCTCAGGTGTGTGGTGAGGCAGGGGTCGGTTGAAATTCAGCACGTGGGGGCCTGGACTCTGGAGGACAGATTTTTGGAAGTGGGACTCCTAGGGCTGGGGACAGTCTGGGGTCACATTCTGGTGCCTGAAGTACTCTAGGGGACAGTAAGAATGGCTAGGGTTGGGCTCAGTTGGCAGTCACGCACAGCGCTGGGAGTCGAAGCCATCTCCAGTGATGGTGAGCAGCTCCAGCTCCTTAATCCGGATCTCTAGCTCGCACAGCTCCTCGGGGTGGGAGGCGGAGGCGAGCCAGGGGGTTGTGGAGCCGGGGACCAGGGCTGAAGTTGCCATCTCGGGGCCTGGCGGCGGCGAGTAAAAAAAGCGCAGAGGCTCGTAGGGTATAGCGGCCAGGCCGGACGGCCAAGGCGGAGGGCACGGGCGCTCGCTGGGGGGACCCAAGCCAGGCGGCGGCGGGGGCACCGTGGCTGGGGGTGCCAGAGGCAGGGGTCGGACCCCCGCTATCCCCGCCACCCCGGCCGCCGGCGCCCCGCCCGCCTTCAGCGGCACAAAGAGCTTCTTCCAGATGTTAAAGTCGCTCAGCGGAGACGACGAGATGCCCCGGTCGTAGAGCGACGGGAAGTAGAGGGGTGGGGCCGGCCGCTGGCTCATCTTGGGGTTCTGGCTGCCGCGCCGCCCCTTCGGCATCTTTTGAATGGGAGGCTGCGTGAGAGGAACCCCGCGCCGGGAGACGCGCGCCGTGGCCCCGCGTCTAGGAATTCCGAGATTCCACAGGCCCCGCCCCGACGGAGCGCGGCCCCACCCTTCGCTCTCGCCCCGCCCCTAGAAGGCGGGGCTCTAGAGAGCAGAGGCCCCGCCCCACGAGCCGGCTGGGCAGAAAACTGCGTCCATCTTTGGTCTTTGTAGGTCCCAGGTGCTGCTCTGCGCACTCTAAATACCACTGGAGCATTTTCGTCTTGTCCCTAGGCTCCTCCCAGCGCCCGTCAGTTCGATTTCTGGTGCTTTTGCATACTAATACTGCGCACGGAGTTGGCCAACGCTGCTGTGAGAGAGAAATTCAGCTTTCCTCTCCTTCTATCGGCAAAGAGAAAATATTTCCCAACAACCAGGTCCTAGCACTCTTGACTTTAGGAAACTGAGGAAATGGGTGGCTGACTTTATCTTCTACAGAGAGAGAAGAGGAAATTTTTCTGATAAATTTATCGATGCTGGGGAAGATTTTGGAAAGGGGGAAGCAGTTTGAATTTGTAATGACTCTGAAGCAAACTTTTTTTTTTCTTTTGAAGTGAAGCTTCTAGTTATCAGGAGCTGACTGGCAGCTTAACACCAAAAGGAAATCCACTGTGGGGCCACCCAAACACCACACCCATTCCTGAGAACTAGACGTTCTGCCCAGCTCACTTCTAGAAAATATTAGCCATTAACTAAAGGGAGGTCAATTTTCGTCAAGGATGTTCTTGTAATAATCACTTGTAATGAGGGATGGGTGGGGACCAGGCAAGCTCAATCAGTCCCAGCTCTCCATAAGAGAAACCTGTGTGTGTAAATAACAGATGCTAAATAACATGGGGTGGAGCAGCAAGGGATAGAGCCTGATACCCAAACTTGTAGTCCTGGGCAAGAAGTTTGGTTGTGAGAGAGATTGTTTTCTTTTGTTTTTTGAGTTAAGGTAGTCCAAGATAGCTGGGTGGTGGTGGTCATGCCTTAAACCCCAGCACTCAGGAGGCAGAGTCAGGTGGATCTCTGTGAATTTGAGTCCAGCCTGGTCTACACAGTGAGTTCCAGGACAGGCTCCAAAGCTTCAAGAGAAACCCTGTCTCAAATCCACCCCCCCAAAAAAACAATAGGTAGTCCAAGCTGGCCTAGAACTTTCAATGTAGACCAGGTTGGACACAAATTTACAGCAATCCTCTCTCTGCCTGCTGGGATTAGTGGTAAGCATCATCACACCTAGCAGATGCTTGACTTATAAATCAGTTTTCTTTCCTTCTTTATTTTGTATGTGTGCATGAATTTGTGTGTTTTGTGTGCACTCAGAAGCCCACATAGGTCAGAAGAAGATGTGGGTGCTGGGAACTGTATCAGGGTCTTCTGCAAGATCAATTAGTAAGTGCCCTTGGTGAATGAGCCGTCTCATCAGAGCTGTTAAGTCAGTTGTCTATAAAATAGAAATAAGAGAGATTGCCTTTGAGATGAGTCCCTCCTCCACCTCCTCCGTCAAATAGCAAAGGCTATTTTATTACTTAAACCAGACTGAGCCTAAGCTAAACAGTGAAAAGAAATATATGGTAGGTATGCCTAAGCGCACAGAAATAGACTGAATAGCTCTCCCATTAATGAAATAGCTATTTATATACTCCAGCTGCCCCACATTCAGTTGATTGAAGATGGCCAATAGGGAATGTAGGCACTTTCTGGCTTCTGACTCATAGAGGGCAACTTTCCCTTTCCCTCTTCCTCCCCAAGCAGCTGCATGACTAATTATTTTCTCTTCCTAACTCCAATAAATTGTCCTCAAGTTTCCCTCTGTTTTGTTTTTAACACTTTCACCTGTGACATAAATAACCTGTTTTTAAAAGGAGACCCTATGTCCTACCATGGCAAGGCCAAGGCTTCCTTCATGTCCTCTGGTCTCTAAGTCCCTCTTCCTGGCAGCAGGCTGGCTCTTATTGGAGGTTGTTTGTGCCATAATCAAAGGACCATGCTATTCTAAGAAACACAAAACAGCCCTTTGTTACTAATCTGAATTAACCATTGTGCTGGTGTGGACTTGATGGCTTGGGTATTCCCACCTCCTTCATAATTCCCACTATTTCAAAAACTGTTCTCAAAAATGCAGTCCAGCCTTTATGCTTGTTATCCTAGGTCCATGTGTTCCCATTTACTTGTAGATGTAGCAAAAATAAAAACTAATGAAAGTTATCTGTTAAGCAAGTTAATGAAACTGAGGTCTGAGAGCTAGGTCAGTGAAACCGGGTGTAAATAAGTCTGGCGGATCAGATGTTTCACACTGAAACCTTCACAAACTTGAAAGCTTGAGAATTTCACTTGGAAGTTGCTTCCTTCACCCACAGAGGCTGCAGAAAGTAAATAATAGTTTTCCCCATTCCTCCTTGCAGCTCACATGGTTACAAGATCCAGATCCAGCCAGAATATACAAGCAAGAAGACAGTTGGGAGTTTTGTAAAACAGATTATAATTTCCTAGTAAGGAAAACTGAAACACAGTTCTCTTATCACCTCTTTCTGCCTTGAACTTGATGCAATGCAGGAAGCTCTACAGTGACTTTGTGTTTGTGAGGGAAAGAACAAGAATACCACAGACAGTGTTGACCCAAAACTAACCCAACTAACCCAAAACTAGTAACTGCTTATCTCTGGATTGTGGGTGTAACAACACAACAATCAGATTGTATTTGATCACTATCTGAAGTCGGGTTGTCTGTTGCTTGCAGCTGAATACCTGAGAGAGTCACAATTTCAAGAACAACAAATTTATTTTGTTTTATTAGTCCTTGCATGGGTGAAACTCCAGAAGAAAACATACTCATTCTTTCTGCTTTGGTCATAGGAATTTTATTAATAGTTTCCCAAGACTGAAAGGATGGATGTAATATCCCAATAGCTAATTGAAGTTTCTGTTACTAGAAGTGAGGGAACAGAGACCATGTGATAAGCCAGATGCCCAATTGCAGAAGTCCCATCATTATAACTTAACAACACCCAGACTTTTATTATGTTCACTGCTGACACAGTTCAAGATTTCGCTCTCATCTGTTAACATTTCCCACCAGTAACTGCCTTGGGCAAGTAGTTTTGGTTGCAACAGATAGAAACTTGATCGAGTAAATTAAAAACTCACAACAGAGGAGAAGGAATTAATAAGGGGAGGGCTCACTGAATCCCAAGGCAGAGCTGCATAAATACCCCAGCCAGGGAAATGGTTGCCACCTGATCTATCCGTAAGCTGTAAACACTTGATAGGTTTGGGTATAGACAATGCTATTCATATTGAAAATTGAGAAGGATTATATGAGCAAGTATACTGACCATGCTTAGAGTAATACATCACAAAAGAAGCTCTAGGTTGTACTCAGGACTTGTGGCATAGGCCTGAAAGCCAAGCTTATTCCAGAGGCCAGCTCAGGAATAACAAAGGTTCAAGGCCTGCCTGGGCAATTTGACAAAAACCTGTCTCAAAACACAAAGGGTTAGACTTATAGCTCATTGTAGAGCATTTGGAAGCATGCACAAGGCCCTGGGTTCAATCCCTCATACTGTGAAAATAGAGCAGCTCTCATGTAACCACTGTTGGGATAATCTTATTATACACTGTGTGCAGATATGTCTATTTAACCTCACCTGCCTAAGGCACCTTCTGATTGGTTTGATAATGAGCTGAATGGCCGATAGCTAGGCAGGATAGGCGGAATTTTCAGACTAAGATAGGAACTCTGGGAAAGAATTTAAGGCAGGAGATTCACCAGCCAGACATGGATGAAGTTGGACCTACAGTACTGAGGAGTGGTAATGAGCCATGTGACAGAAAATAGATTAATATAAGTGGGTTAACTTCAGTTTTAAGAGCTACTTGGGACAAGCCTAAGCTAAGGTCAAGCTTTCATAATTATCAAAAAGTATCAGTGTCGTTATCGGGAGCTGGTGGTCCAAAGAAATTGCTGCACTCCCCGTTGAGAGGTCATTATGTGCCAGGTCTTATTGGGTTCATAGTAGTAGAATTTATGAATTACAACACAAAACTCCAGGTCTTGCCCAACATAAGTCACTACCTACATTTCCAGACAGCCTGATTAGCAGGGATTTACTGAGCCAAGAATAGCAACGCTGAGAACAATGCCTCCACCCACCCCTAAGGAAGCTAATCACAGAAAGTAAATGACCACTCCATGGACTAACTAGGAAGCTTGAGCTGGCTCAAAAGGGTCAGCCCCTGCAAGACATAAGCTGTCCTTCCCTTTGCCAGAGGCTTACATAGTAGCTGGGGAGGAAATAATATTGTTTCTAATGGATCATTGTAGGTACTTGTCTAGAAAGTGGCGCTCTCAGTGTGTTCATTCTTTTTACTCCCATGTAAAATGAGTATATGAACAGGGGCCTTAGATGAGATAAATAGATTACTAAAAAAAAGAGAGAGAATTTTATTTCAATAATGTAATAAATTTGGGAAGGAGACCTATGGCCAGTTTCTCTTTACGTCAGTCAGTGGGATAAATATGTGGTGATTCGCTGTAAGCCCAAGGCCTCTGTAGCCCTAATAGCCTAATGTGCTAGGCAGCTTTTGTGGTTGTGATGAAATGCCTGAGAGAGATGACTTATAAATAAGAAAGTTTACTGTGGCTTCCAGTTTCAGAGGCTCCATGCCTGGCTGCATCCACGGCTTTTCAGTCTGTGATAAAGCAAACCATCAGGGCACCGAGTATGTGACAGAGCAAAGCAGTTCACCTCGTGGAATCCAGGAAGCAGAAAGCAGAAGATGAGGACCCAGCATCCCCTTCAGGGGCATGCCCCTCAACAGCCTCATTTCCTTCTGCCAAGTTCCACCTCCTGAAGACTCTGATGCTTCCCAATCCATAGCACCATCAGCTGGAGGCTAAAATGTTCACGAATGTGGTTCCCCAATAATTTAATGTCTGTTATAACCTGCATGCTGCTTACCAGACGCTTCACAAATGCATTCCCCTTCAGATCCAGGGTATATGCAGAAAGCCCAAGATAAGTTGTTTTTCCTTGAAACCAATGAAGAGGACTAGTTGATGAGGTGCTTCCCTACTGTACATGAAGCTCTTGGCTTCATCTCTAGCACCTTATAAGCTGGATAGGGTGGCTCACACTTTAGAAACAGGGAGATTCCAAGTTCAAGGTCATCCTCAGCTATATAGTGAGACCAAGGATAGTCTGGGATACATGTGTCTTCCTAACAACAAACCCATGTACTTAATTGCTGCTATATTAAAAAATACAGTGGGCATTTACAAAAAGAATGTGATATGATAATGGTGTATGGAAGTGATGTCTCTAGAAGTTCTGTAAGGCTCACACTGTTGGAGAACTTTTCAGTGACAAAACAGGCACTTAAGTTTTCTTTTGCCAGGCAATGGTGGCACATGCCTTTAATCCCAGCACTCAGGAGGCAGAGGCAGGTGGATCTCTGTGAGTTTGAGGCCAGCCTGGTCCACAGAGCAAGTTACAGGACAGCCAGGACCACACAAAGAAATCCTGTCAAGGGTGGGGGGTTCTTTTGTAAACAAAGGAAAGAATTGATTTCTTCAGAGTCTGTGGTATTTGAATGTATTGGCTCCCATAAGCTCATAGGGAATGGCACTATTAGGAGTTGTGGTCTTGTTGTAGGAAGTAAATCACTATGGAGGCAGACTATGGAGGTCTCATATATGCTTAAAATATTGCCCAGTGTCACAGTTCACTTCCTGTCACCTCCTGATTAAGATGTAGCCAGCACCATGTCTTCCTGCACATAGCCATGCTCCCTGACATGATGATAATGGACTGAACCTCTAAACTGTAAGCTTCCACCTCAATTCAATGCTCTCTTTAAGAGCTGCTGTGGTACATCAAAGATTGTGCACAGAAGGGTAGAGAGAGGGTGGCTACAGAACTCAATGTGAATGTGTCACCTTATTGCCTTTGGTGGTCTTGAGCAAATCAGCTAATTCATCCAAACATAATTCCAACTCTATTATTTTATGTATATAGGTACTGGTGCCTATGAAAAGAGGAGAATACCTCAGATCTCCTAGAACTAGAGTTACAGGTATGAGCTGCCATGTGGGTGCTAGGAATCAAATCTGGGTCCTCTGGAAGAGCATCCAGTGCATTTAATCAATGAACCATCTCTTGATATCTGTAGTTCCAACTCTTATGCAAGGTGAGACAGTGATGCTGATGAAGATAGACTTAAGGCCTGAGCTGGCAAGTCCTGTACATGAAGTTGCTCTCATCACAATATCAGGTGAGTGCCACCTTTAGACAACACCACCTTCTCAGTGCAAAGCATCTCTTAGTGACATAGTCCTCTAGCATCAGTTCAGATTGGTTTGCAAGCAGCAGAAACCAGATGTGCTAAAAGGCTTCGATGTGCTAACCATCTGGTCCTACTAAGAATGAAGATGTATACATCTATACATCTAGTCCATTCTGTCAGGAAGTCACAAATCCAAAACACACAGAACAGAGTCAGGCAGTCTGTTATTGCACTCACCATGTTAAATCATGGGGCTGGTATCAGGATACAGGAGGGGAAACTCAGGTCGGTATATAAAATGAGAAAATGTTATTTAAATAAAATAATTTTTAAAAAAGATGTTGTAAAGAAAAACACTGGGCCAGCAGAGGACGCTGATAACCAAGGCAGCAGGAGGTGAAAGTGCCCGATGGCATTTTCTCTTTCTGTTGCTTCCCTTGAGCACATGCGTGAGCTATCTGTCACCTTTCTGCTGCACTCAACCATCCATCGGATGGGACTTTATTTTCAGAAAAGCATCACTATTTGCATAGCTATGTAAAATAATACACACAATTTATCTAGCAGATTATATAAAGAGGGTTTTTTTGTTTTGTTTTTTTTTGTTTTAATTTAACATCCTTTAAAAAAAGTTTTGACGTTAATAAAAGAAATTCCTTCTTCTGCAAAGGTCAGGCACTGAATACAGCCAAGATCCCAAGATCAGATGTGGTCTATGGTCTATGGATCTTGTGAACCACTCTTCAGCATATACAAGAAAACAGCCTTCTCCTTTCTTAGGAAGGAGGCTTCCAGCATCCAGTCGTTTCTGACTGTGCTAACAGCCACGGAGAATGTGTTGTGTGTGAACTGTACCGAATCACGGAGAAGCCAACAAGGTGGAGACAGGCAGGTAGAGCATACTTGCTGACCAGCTGCTATTCCTGGAAACATCTGGACATCTCAAATGACAGCCCACACTGTTCCACTGCATTCATCCCGCATGCAGGCACACATGAAGGGTCTTCCTGCTAGGTGATATTTAAAATAAACACACTGACATGCGTCTGTCATATTACAAGGTTGTTTATTCATCACGTGGAGCGAAGTTAAGACAATTTGATTTTCTAAGAAAAACGAGAGGGAATAACTTTAATAAAGCATTATTATAGGTAATTTCATTTCTCTAATACAAGTTAGGAAATCCCATGTAAAATTTAAGAGATTCAGGAAAACTCAAATTGTAGTCACTGGTACTTCTACAAAAAGAACAGAAAGACCTTTTGTGTTTCCTTCTTCCTTTTTAAATTTTTGTTATTGTTTGGTTTTCTTTGACTTTTTCTTTCTTTTCATTTTTACTTTTTATTATTATTATTATTATTATTAGGCAAAGTTCTGGGTGACCTGGAATTCACTACGTGGTCAGACTGACCTTGATCTTAAGGCAGGAGCCTTTGCCTCATGAGTGCTGAGAGAAAAGGCTTGAGCTGGGAGTGTGGCTAGAGGGCACAGCACTTGTCTTTTGCTCAAGGGTCTGGGCTTCATTTCAAACAAACAACATCACTGCCTATGGTTTATGATTTATTGAAGATCAAAATAGCAAAGTAGCCATACTAGTTAGCTATAGAAGCTAAGCGGTGGTAGTGCACACCTTTAGTTTCAGGACTCAGGGTTAAGAAGAAGATGGATTAGACTGGAGAGAGATGGCTCAGTGGTTAAGAGCACTGGCTGCTCTTCCAGAGGTCCTGAGTTCAATTCCCAGTAACCACAAGTTAGCTCACAACTATCCCCAATAAGATCTGGTGCCTCTTCTGGCATGCAGGTATACATGCAAGCAGAACACTGTATACATAAATTAATTAATAAATAAATCTGGAAAAAAAAAAGGAAAAGAAAAGTAGATGAATCTCTGTTAGTTCAAGGCCACACAGACTACACAAAATTGATCCAGTGCTAAAAGAAATAGCTCACATAAAGGTGATTTCAGAACCTGGGATCACGTGCCTTTAATCCCAGCAGTAGGCAGGTGGAGACAGCAGTATATGGCTGGGTGGAGAAAAAGAATACAAAGGGGAAGAGACAGGATTGGAGAGGCTTTTGCCTCTGAGGATTCGTGGAGAGACAGGATTGCCATTTCAACTGGATAGAGGTAATATCTACTAACTTGGCTGCTTTGCTTCTCTGGTCTTCAGCTTGAAGCTTGAACCCCAATATCTGTGTCTCGGTCCTTTATTTTTGGTGCTACAACTGCCCCTGACTGACTGCTCACATCTGGAATACTCACTGACACACCAAGCCAGGATCTGCAAAGGCTGCGAAAGCATTTTATGAGTGTGACAGAATGGTGAAAAAAATCCCCCTGGCTCACTCACTCCTAAAGGTACTGGCTGAACTTTCAGCTACATTCTAGGAACCAGAGAGATATCCCTGAGGGTTGCCAAAAGCCCACTTAAGCTGAAACGGGAAACCAGTCCTCCTTTACCCTTAAACTTCAAGTGGACATATCCGTGTGCAGGACGGTCCTCCACACTGCTTCCTCTCATCCATGATGTTCAAATGAACTTTATTTTTCCCCAAAAGCATATAATGGAAAACAATAACAGCTTTGGAGTGCTGCAGCTGCAGCAAAAAAGATAAGACAACAGAGGTGCTCTGGGGCTCAGTGGTAACTTAGAGACACAGCTTCCAGACAGCTGCCAGAACTGAGGTCCCCAGCAACGCAGTCTTCATAGATAAGGAGGTTGCTTTATCTTTTGGCCTGTTATTTGCCTCTTGATTTTCTTTGATTTCTTCTTCTTTGAGCTTTTTGTTACACATGTCCACCTGGCAGCATCTGTACTGTACATTTGTCAGGTCTAATCGGTCCAAAATTGACATGGAATCGCATTCTGAAAATTTCCAACACTGTTGATAGATTTCCCTTCCTGCGGAGAGACACACATATGCTAAGGAACCACACAGGTGCAGTTTTAAACCTGCCATTCTATGTCTTGGAGCTTAGCCTATGAGAATAGCGAGGTTTGCATAGAAATAGGCATCCCAACTGGGGTGTAAAAGGGAACAATCAAGTGATGGCACACCTCCAAATGGAGAATGTCCCATAAATCTTGTCAGAGCCAGTGTGTAAGTGTGTGAGTGTGTGAGTGTATGAGTGGAGGGGGAAAGTTATAGGCAGTTATATTTCTATTTAAGAGGGAAACTTGGTGATACCTAGTAAGATTTCTAAACACATGTAGTCTCTATCAATCAATTCTACTTTTACAGTATAGGAAAAGAGACACAATACTATTTGTAACACAAGCACTTAAAAAAAAAACCAAAATCTATTCATGAATTTGTTTACTACATAGTGATGAAGAGACAGAGAGAGAAATATTACTTTATACCAATAAGGAGGGCTAAGATCAAGAAAATAGAATGAGGCAAAACATACTGAGTGAAAAAATTATTCAACAACATAAAAGAAAAAATTAAAGGATCTTAGTACTCAGGAGGGCATTGCTACATTTTCTACCTTAGCAGTGGAGGTGGGGAGGACTCTGCCCTCCTCCCCCACCCCATGGACTCAAACACCTTCAACATAAGGCCTAGAATTCTGGCCATAGTCCAAAATTTATACAAAAATTATCAGGTACCCCCGTTTTTACAACAAGGTACCTTTGATTGGTCCTTACTTAACTGATATTTTTTTCCTTCTCAGGAGAAAATACACTTGAAGGCGGTTTTTATTCTTATCTCATAGAAAGGGACTTATCTCATACACCAGACCATACTGAAATGGCCATTGCCCTCTACTATCTTTAGTCACACAGACCTAGCTTAGAGCTATAGCCTCCAAAAACAAAGGACAGCTGCTGGCTTCTTCCTTGTCTACCATTTCCTAAATTCTTAAGTGGACATTCCCTAGTTCAGCCAACTTGGAAAAGGAGATGATATGTGCACATTATGCCCCTTCCCTCATTCATAAAGTGCCCTGTTCTCTGAGGCCACTCTCAAATGAATAGTTTTCCTTATTAGGCATGTGACATTTATTATCCATTGAGCTCAACCTGTGTCCCCTCAGGACTCTATACACATCTGATACATATGTTTAGGCAGAGATCTAAATAATCATTTGGGATGAGCAAACAGGCCACAGTCCAGGTTTTGATGCATACTCTTTCTTCATTTTTGCATCTCTAGCTAGGACCCTGGCATACTGGAGGTGCCCAGAAGTTTGGAAGATAAGCACACTATCATTATTAAGAAGCCTGAGTTTTGGAATCATAAATTTCCAAATTCAAATCCTATGTTGACACCTGACCTTTGCCTGCTGTGTTATATGAGCCCCCACTTTCTCATCTGTCACACAGAAAGACGGTGAGAAATGATACAGTCATAAAAAGTATATAGGAAACGCTCAGTATCCAGTACTTCACGACAAGCTGCTGTTGGTAAATAGCAGCCATTACTTGGTGAGTACAAATGGTGAGATTTAGGGAGGTGCCCGTTTCCCAAGCTCTCACCCCTCTCTACACTTAGACCAGAGAAACCCAGGTGTCCTTACCAGATATAGCGATGAGACAGGAATCCAGGTTAACTGAACAAGTGGTATTCATTTTGCATGTGGAAACTGGATCTAAACAGCTGTAGCATTTGAGGCTAACACCTAGAGTCAGAGAGAAAGACTGTTGGGCTCTGTTAATCCAGCAATGACTTAGGCAGACCTTACCTGGGAGCACAGGTTTGGGTCAGCTTGTTTTTAATCTTTTTTTGTTTGGTTGGTTTTTGTCTGTCACTCTGTAGACCAGGCTTGTCTTGAACTCACAGAGATCGTACCTGCCTCTGCCTCTGCCTCTGCCTCCTGAGAGCTGGGACTAAAGGTGTATACCACCACCAGGCTTTATTTTTTAATTAAAATTTTGACAATTTCATACATATATACAATATATTGTGAGCATATTCACAATCTTCCCCTTCCCATCACCCCCAACCCTTTCCTTTTCCCAAATAGTCCCCTTCCTATGTCCACTGTGACTGAGTTTCATTTGGGACCCATCCTCCTCCGCTCCCATCCTCCCAGGCTCAACTACTCTTGGACTGACCCATGTAAACTAGGAAGTTCATGACTGCTGGGGAAAAGGAACAAAGCAAAGGTAACTCAGCAAGTCCAGTTCTTTCTTCTTTGTTTCAAAAAGAGTATGCTCAAAAAGAGCAAATCGGGCTAGCAAAGCCCTCAACAAAATCACTTCCATTTTCACCCCATTGTAGGTAGGTGGTGACTGCCTTTCATCCCATTGGTGGGAACTCGGTCTCACAATGTGACACAATTGGTTAATCCAGTACAAAGAGGCAAAAGGGAGATTCGGGGAAATATAGTCCCTGGTCAGATGATAGGAAAACAACAACAACAAAATGCATTCCTCATAACAACCAGCCCTCTACTTCAGAGGAAGCAGGTGGTCTGGTGCCCTGCACTGGGAGAAGGAAATGCCTAACCCGACCATGCTTCCCTACAGTTATAACAGGTACTGGGAAGCACCTCACCAGGTTCTAAATTGATTCCAAGTTGAATCTGGGATCTCCCACTGCCCCAGGGAGCCTAGAGAGCTTGTTAGCGTTCATGAAGTCAACCCCCCCCCAGGTGTCCAGGAGAATGACAATTGCCAAATTGCTTAGAGACCTCAGAGGTCAAAGGGCACATTTCCCACCCATTTCCTCCATACTTCCCATTCCTCTAGTAGATTCCTTCCTTATTTCTCCATAGTACAAGATACTCCTCCCTCAAGCTGGGTGGTGCACACCTTTAATCCTAGCACTGGGGAAGCAGAGGCAGGTGGATCTCTGTTTGAGACCAGGCTGATCTCCAAGAATTAGAGTTCCAGGACAGCCTCCAAAACCACAGAGAAACCCTGTCTTGAGGAGGTGGGGGTGAAGGGGAGATTTTCCTTCCTCACTCCCTGCCTTATTTCCTTCCTCAAATTAAAACAAATGTCCTTGCTTTTCCTCCCTCCCCTCAGATCCTGCCATACCTCTGATGTTAGATAAATCACATAAATAAATCACATTTGAGACTGTTCAATACAGTGAATGAAAGTTCCTCAACAAACACTGGAGACTTAACTGGAATGTGAAATCCAGAACCAAATTCCTTGACCATTTAGGGCTTCCCTCTGCACTTGACCAACCAGCTTTGTGACCATTAGGTAAACCATTTGGTATATACAGACTAAACACTGGATTCTAACCAACCAGAAAGCTATGAATACAGCCAGAGGGCACCTGAGATCTGTAACAGGGGTCCCTACTTTAACCCATCTACCTAATGTTTTCACCAGCGTATTCCAATAGCATCTTCATTTATGACTTTCTTGGTTCTGTTGCTACAAAAATCTCATCAAACTGCTTCCACGTTGGAGCGTGGCATTTGGGGTAACCTAAATCTGTCTTCCTGGGCCATGCTTCATATTTGGCTCCAGAATGAACTAGCTCTTTTCCCTTTTGAGATAAGGAATTCTAGTTTTGTTTTGATAGGAACTAAGAAATTCCAGGGAAAGCTAGCTTAAGCATTCAAAATGATGATGGGCTATGATCTTTGCATTCAGACTGAGAATCCACGTCAATGGCAGGAAGACAACTGACTTTGCCATGATTTATTGATCTCTTAAATAAGCAGAGAGAGAGAGAGAGAGAGAGAGAGAGAGAGAGAGAGAGAGAGAACACAGAAAAAATTCCTCCTAAAAATGACAAAAGAAACAAAGAACAGACTGAGGAGAGTTAGGACTCTGAGGGCCTGTGTTGAGGCTCACAAAGAGCACTTGTGAAGGTCCGTCAGTGAATTTACCAATGACGAACATGTATAGTTTTTGTTTTGTTTTGTTTGAGCCAGATTCTTTCTATGTAGCCGTGGCTGTTGTGGACTCACTATGTAGTCAGCCTGGGCTTGGTCTCACAAAGATCCACCTACCTGTCTCCCAGCTGGAACTAAAAGGTGTGCACCACCACTTCCTGGCCACAGGAAGATTTTTAACGAGAGGATTTCCAGGTGTAAGTGCAAAGAGAATCCAAATCCATCCAACCGAGCTATGCTGATGTGCACATGCAATTTAAGTGCTTGGAAGATGGGGAAAGAAAGGGAGCTGGAGGTTAAGGTTAGATAGTGGTTCCAAGGACTGCCCAGATTACATGGCACCCCCTCCAAAAAAATAACAAAGACTCCATCTAGCTATGCAACTGAGAGGCTTCCTCCTAACCTTCCACTGGAAGGTGATAACCTGTGATGGGATGATGGTAGATAGGAAGTACTGAGAGAATGACCTCACAATCCCATGAGGGTCTCACAAGCAAAAATAGACTCAACTACATCACACCTTTGTGGGTGATAATCAGTACTTGTTGGTGTAAAAAGACATTTTCAAAGGCAAAAATCTCTTCAGATTAGTACTTTCAGTTGAACATTTACAACTAACCGATGTGGTGATGGGGAACACTAAACCATAAGCAAAATGTTATCCTCAAAAAAAAAAAAAAAAAAAATCCCACTCATTAGCAGATAGACATTATACATTGACAGGCAGTTATTACATTGTGAATTTTTGTCAATCAAAATTTTGTAGAAATTTGCTCCCTCTCTTTTTATTTATATGAGCTTGCAGAGTATATTAGATTCATTCGTTGCCTCCTGGCTTATATTTACAATCTTTAGAGACCAAATTTAATGCCCTCTGGAATAGCATATAATCACTGAATTGCTTCCTGTTAGGACAGACCCAGGGTTAGAAGTACCTACAGATAACACAAGAGAACACAACTCTAAACTCTTGTGGATGGGGCAACCAGTCATGGCAGAGCTGAGTTCCCTAATTCAAAAGCAGAAAACAACTACTACTGTCACTCTACTTAAGACTTACTGTTGAGAGCTAAGAATCAGGTTTTACTGACTTATTTTTTCCTTCTTCAATTTTGTAACATGATGACAAGGAAAAGATGATAGTCAGCATATGTGAAAAGAATCCAAAACAAGAATCAGAAGGGAATCTTGTCAATTCATGTGGGTGTTATGTATGCCTTTCCCCATACCAGAGAGAATGAATGACCTTCCTATTGCATGGCTTCTACCATGACATCAGTATTTTGTAGTACCCACCCACAGAAAGCTATTTTCAAAGATGAAACATGTACAATCTCATGGAAGGATGTCACGATTAGACCCAGTATGGCTGACCTTTAGTTGTAAGGTCATCTTTAGTTGTGAGGCCAATGCTTCTGTTTATCACCAGGAGCAAGGAAATGTTTCTAGAAGCTGAGATCTTTGCTTCTGAGTCCAGCAAGGAAGCAAGCTCTCTCTCTAGTGTATCTTAATACCTAATCCTTTATAGGTATGGCATCTCACTCACAGGGGGCATTTGATTTGGCAAGGTTCCAATTAACCCCCTAAAACATCAGTAACAACAAAATAGAACTTTTCTCCTCTCTACTTTGTTTGTAGATGACAAGACCAATGCCCGGAGAGGTGAAGTGACTTTTGAAGGACATCCAGCCAGAGAGTGACTGAGTCAAAGTGGGGTCTCAAGCCTGCAGGCAGGACTCCATCAAATACTTCTGCTTGCTCTCCTTCAGTGTCAGCATGAGAAACCCAAGGATGCCATTTCCCTACCATCCCTTCCTTGTGCTAGATATAGACACAAACATATTAGAAGCAAAGAATGGGAGAGGAGGGGTATTGTACTAGCCTGGATATTAGAGGGCCAGTTTATAAGCTCAGCCACAGAAATGAATTGGCCTCCTGGCTAGAGCCAGAGTTCATCTGGCTAAGTGACAAGGCTTTAGAAGAAAAGGACAAGGCCAGTGCCATGCTGGGAACTTCTGTAGGGCAGGCAGACAGATCCCTAGCTAGCATATTCCATCAGTATTCCAATGTCTGTGCGCCTATATGCTAGGCCTTCCACAGAACTGTTATGGTTAGCAAGCTCAAGTAAGCCAGCCCCATTGCAGAAGAGAAAACTGAGGTGACGGTATTAATAGATATGACAAATGTCACATGACAAACATCTCAGTAACAGAGCTGAGTCTCAAACCCAAGCTATCAGCTCTGAAACTGAAGCCTCCTTTAGCCAAGACACTCTCTAACTTCACTGAGTTGGGAAAAGTAAACAGTGCAGACTTTAGGAGAAGACAGGCCATAAGTCAGTGGATAATTGCTGCTGAGCCAGGACAGAGTGGGACTTGGGCCGTGCTGGGCCACTTCTTGCCCTAGTTCCTGGAGAAGAGCTATCCTGCTCTAACAGCTATAACAACGGAAAAACCTGTACCCCTTGATTTTCTTCATTTTATGCCTTTGAAATGTCATTTCTTGCCTTTGACACACTGGCTTATTACCAGGAACATTCTCCTGAGGGCTTCCTAGGGTCTTAGAAAATAGCAATTAAAAACAATTTTCCTAGAGGCTCAGTGGTGACATATGCCTTTAATTCCAGTCTCTACTGGAATTAGTAGAGGCAGGTGGATCTCTGTGAGGTCAGCCTGGTCTACAGAGCTAGTTCCAGGACAGCCAGAGCTACACAAAGAAACCTGCCTCAAAGACAAAAAGCTTTCTATCTTTCTTTTCCTTTCTCCTCCACCTTTAGTTTCACACCCAAATTCTCTGAGGAAGGGGACTAGGTATAGTGCAAACTTGTCACAGGGCAGGAGATAGTCTCAAACCGAAGCTTGCCCCCAACAGTTGCAGATGATTGTGTCAGGCTACTGTAATGACAGGAAATGCAGCAGGAAGAAGAATTAAGGATGAAATATGACGTGGCAGAGGTGGACCGCATTACAATGCACCACAGCTAGGACTACTGAAAGCTACCAAGAGAGGTGGGCACAGGAAGGAAGGCATGAGATGCAATATGGAGTACACTTGCATTCTCTCCGCTGTGCAGTGAAAAGTCTCACTGACCCCTTGGGTAGGAACAAAGGCCATCGATGATCTGTAGAGATCCTGCTATATTCGCAGTCAGGGTATGTGGGCTACAAACACTTCAACACTGCAGGAACCTTTCATTTCCTAGTGCTCATTGTGTTGCTGGTTTTTCCAGCTCAATCCTTGCTCTCTCTGTCCCACTCCCAAAGCCAAGAATGAGTAGGATGTAATAAGAATATGATACAAACAGAGAATAACACTTGATCTTTTTTGTTTTGTTTTTGCTTTTTGAGACAGGCTTTCTCTGTGTAGCTTTGAAGCCTGTCCTGAAATTACAGAAATCTACCTGCCTCTGCCTCCCAAGTGCTGGGACTAGAGAGGTGATGGACCCCCACCTGGCAACACTTGATCTTTATAACAACACAAAGTGAGTGTTCCCATTGTTACAGAAGAATAAAAGCAGAGCTCTTCAGAAGCCAGGAGAAGGATCCCAGAAATGGATGTCTCTAGAGCAGTAGCCTAGGAGTGGCCACAGTGAACAAAAACCAGGAACTCCAGTGGAAGATTGGGGACATGCTTCTGGGTATTATTTCATGCATTCAAAATTCCTTGTCAACATTAGTCCATAAGTTCGTAACCCTCTTTGTCTCAATTTTGTCATCTGTAAAAAGGATATAAGTACATGATCTGCTAAGTTGACAAGAGGGTTAGATAAGTAAATCCATGTAAAATGCTTACAAAACAGATAGGCACATGCATGTGTAAGCTTTAGATTATTTAGCTGTGCTACAAACATCATGACCACTATCTCGGTGAAATAGGAAAACGGTGGGGTGGAAGGGCAAGAGTTCCAACGGCTGACCTTCCTCATAGTGTAGAGAGGGCAAAAAGGCCTTGTCCTCACAGAGAAGCACTGGAGAATCTCCGAGAGTTAAAGGCACAGCTCACCTCTTCAGTGGACTGAGGTACACAATTGCTCTTCCTGGAAAGCCAGGAATGATGCAGTATCTTAGGGCCAGGCCAATCCTGACACCCACAGGTTTTGTGTTTACCTCAAACAAGCTCCCTAGACTCCAAAAATCTTGGGTACCATCTCTGAGTCAACAGTACCTATTCTTGTGAAAGAAGCCAGATGAACTTTGTAAGGAATCTCAATGTAAACAAACGTCTTAAATTGTGCACTTGGGGCTGAGTTCATTGGTGTCGGATTACTTTTTTTTTCCAAAATTGTGCTGTGCTTGAATATGACTAAAATAAAATGGTCTGGGCTAGACTCTGGAAGTCCTGGTCCAGCATCAGTTACAATAAAATAAACTTGGCTGTGCCAAGTTTCACTCTCGCCTCGGTGTGGAAAGCCTTCAGGGGAATCGCCACGATAGAGGCCCAGAGCTGTTGGCACCCAGCCTCCACAGCTGCTGCTACTTTCTTCTGTAAAGGAAATAGCCATGTTCCTCACTGACAGCCCAAGTGTGAACCCTTAGCCCCAGGTGCCTCTATTCCTTCTTCCCCAAGGACGTTCAGGTGGTCAGTGACAAAAACCATGTCCTCCACATCAGAGGCAGCCTGACTGCACACTCAGTCTATGAAACCTTCCCTGTTTGAGATCTGAAAGGTGCCTCCACTTTACCCACCTCATCAGAGACCCTCCTACTTGCTGTCTGTCTATCCATGGCATTAATAATGCTAATAAACTCTTGCCCAAAGGACAACCCACCCAGTCCCCTCCTTATATCCCACACCTGAGACCTTTCAGAAAGGATCTGTATAGCATTTTAAGGATGATATCTGCTACAGTCCCAAAGTAGGGGGACAGGAGAAAAAAAAAAAAACAACCTTATCTTCACCTCTGTTTTAAAAAGAAAACAAACAAAAACCAAAAAGCCCAGCTCTGTAACCCAGGACGTGCTTTAACTCAGGCAGCCATGAAAGGTACCCAAAGCACCAGAGCTGTCACACGGGCAGAATCTGGAATGCTCAAAGCAAAGAAACCAAAGTTAGGCCTTGATGAGGGACTAGAAGCCAGGGGCAGCAGCTCAGACTCCCAGGGACCCAAGAAAGTAGCATCATGGCCAAGGGCAGTCTAGAGGCTCTGATCACTCACCTGTAGAACAGAGGGCAGCCAGAAGAAGCAGAGGGAAAACAAGTCGCCTTTGAACTCTCATTGTGCCTGTCCAGCAGATCTGGAATGAACAAGAGTTGTTACTGACTGACACACGCCTTCCAGTTATTTCCAAAACCACAAGCTAGAAGTCCAAGGTTGTCTTGGGAAGGGTACAGAAGGCTAAAAGAAGAGGAATGGAACCTCCACTGGGGTAGGGTGCACTACCTCAGGGCAGTTTTGAGTAAGGCTGTGATGGTCCTCTCCTTTTGCTTCAAGATCTCAGCTAGTGAGGAATGTCCACCTGAGGAAGGCATGGAGGAAGAGCAGCTACGCAGGGGTCAAAGGCTGGGGCAAGAATTCCACCCCACCCACCTCTGACCCTTAAGAAACTTAAGTTCATATAAGCCAGTGTCCACGGCCGCACAGGGAATAAATCTATCCTCCCCTGGGCCAGGGATGCTTACTAGTAGGCATAAGGCTAGTACTGTAAAAAGAAGAAATACTACCTTCCCCATTAGGGTTGCTTAGTCCAATGAAAATGTGAGATAATTGATTCTAACTTCAGCTTCAGCTCTGGCCATGCTGCTGACAGAGCTGGAGTGCCCTTTCCCTAAGTAAAGAGAGCATGAGCAAGCCTCAGGAAGACCTAACAGCAGGGACAGCAAAGTTGCGTATACATGGAGGCTCAGCTGTCTTGGCTCAGTGTCTCTTCACTTCAGGGAAGGAACCAGCTCCTGGGTAACTCTGGTGACTAGACCTCGCTATGTAAGTGACACTCCCCATCCCCCCACCCCCCTCACCCACTGGTGGCTAGTACCAAGTAACAGGAGAGAAGGCAAGTGTGGAATTGCCCACAACATTCCTTTCACCCAATACGGAAACCAAGGCACACAAGGGTTCAAACCTTCCTACATGCCAAGTTTTGGGAATAGATTTAAGAAGTGTCCTGACCCTCCTGTATTCTTTGGGGCCCACCTTGAAACTGGGAGGTGACAAGTCATTTAAAACCACAGGGCTCTACATGTTTTTCTCATGAGGCCACAAGCCAAGGCTCAGGTCTGCTAGACAAAGGGGGTTTGTGATGGGGTAAACTACCAGTATGCCTTCAGAGTTAGAAATGTGTTAAGAAAAAGTTCTGGGGTGGTGTGGAGTGTGTCATCAGCCTCATATCTTTGAAGGTAATCTGATGACCAAGGTCAGGGGGAAATGAAGAAACTAAAAAGGCAATTTCTACATTGTCCATTGTAGAAATTGGGCTGAGCCACCATGGGTGTATGCATTTCAAAGACAAACAGGGCCCATCCCTTTCCTTACCAGTGAGGTACCAATGCCCTCAGCATGCTGTCAGCTTCCTGCTTAGTTACTCATGCTAGGATTCTGAGTACTCTGTATGGAAAACTGCTGCAAGGGAGCAAAGTCCTCAAGTAGTCAGGAGGACCAGCTGTGTCAGACATTGGCTTAGGGAAGGAGGAATGGTGGTCATGCATCCCAATGACACTGTAGGTATCCGGTCAACAAGAGCTTCTAACGCCAGAAAACTTCCTGGGGAAAGGTGCCCAACATGAACAACACTGTAGGAATGAATATACAGAATCCTTTCCCCACGTCTGCTCTGTGATGAAGAGCTGACAAGGTATATTGGAAAGGACTGGAAAGAATGAAACAGATTTGTTAAAGATCGGGGCTTCTGAGACTAGTTTAGAGGTCCCTGACAAAGTCTGTCCTGGGCTCAGACCTGACCTGGAAACTACACTTCCAGTCGAGGCACTACACCTCAGAATTTCTTCCAGTAAGTCAGGACAAAAAAACCAAACAACTGTTGGAGCCAGGGAGAAGGCTGGTGGGACCAGGGCTGTTCTACAGTTAGTTTTCAAATATAAGAAGGACTGCAGAGAAAAAGAGGTTATTCTACACATTTCCTAAGACAGGACCAACGAGGGGCACATTGTGGATATTCCAGGAAAGCACTTTCCCAGCTGAGCTACATCCCTGGCTTTCATTCTGATTTTTCTAAACACGCCATCCCTTTCCCACCTTGCCACATGCAGGCTGGTCACAGTGTCAGCACATCAGAAAACAATGCCTCTAATTGTTCTCTAGTCCTTGGGAACATCCAGATAGTGGAGGTCATAGAGCCAAGATGCTGCAAGAGCCTTTTAGAAGACAGAGACTAAAAACAAATGAAACAAAAGGGACTGCAAGAAGGCTCAGCAGATAAAGGTGCTTGCTGCCAAGCCTCACGATCTGAGTTCAATCCCCAGGGTCCAAGTGGTGGAAAAAGAAACCCAACTCCTGAAAGTTGTCCTCTGGTCTCCCTCAAGGTGCCATGGTCCATGAATACAACAAATGAAGAATAAATGTAACTTTTAAAATTTTTAAAGAAGCAAAGCCTAAAGATTGCTGTAGTAAGAATTTTCATTCTATAACAAATCCAATCTGACAATTACTTATTCATTGCCATCCAAGGGAAACTCAAAGGAGACAAAAAGCTGGACTGACCAAGTAGCTGAAAATGTTTGGGGTAGCAAATACTTAGAAGCCCAGTGTGAGCAGATGTGTGGTGCACTTGCATAAAAGACTTGGACACTGGTTCTCAGTGTCTTTGACCTTGTAGATCAAGCAGAGGATGATCGGATCAAGGGACCTGGAGTCTTGGTAGGCCTAGTCTACAGCATGATGGCTTGTGCTGTTCACAGTCCCCAAGGGCTGCAGCTGTTCCTAGAGACCGCACTGAAAACCAGGAGGTTGCAGTGACCTAGCCCAAGCATTGAAAGTGACTCTCTCAGCAGGGCTGTAAAGTGAGATGTTGGTGTTAATTAAATAATTAGAAGTGTCTTTTGTTCTGCAGGGCCCATACAATTACACCACTTGATACAACTGTTACCAAACACAAGCCATTAAGCCTGATTGCTAGCTAACTTTTGTTTTGTTTTGTTTTGTTTTGTTTTGTTTTGTTTGGGGGGGGGGAGAATACTACAGGCCAATGCTATGTTAGTGCTCCTGACAGAACAATGTAGTTAATCCTTACAACAATACTATAAGGTAAATGTAATCACTTCTTACATTTAGGCAACTGAGAGTGAAGGCAGGTTAATTACAAGGCTGCCACAGCAGCAGCCAAAGTAACCTTTCTGTTCCATAAAAACATCCAGACCCTAATTATAAAACCAGGGGCTGCAGGCTTGCTCTTGGTAACCTTCAATGACCCTAGGATTATGCACATTGCTGGGGATGACTCAGTTGTCCCAGTGTAGTCACAGGGTCCTCGGAAGGAAGAGGAAGGGAACAGAACCTGTCAGACATTGGAAAACAGAAGCAGAGGCAGGATGTGAAGAACATGATAAACTCATCCTAATACAGCTAACTCTGAGGACAGGAAGAGCTCAATCATCCTCATGGCCTCTAGAAGCTAAGAATGCTCCTTAACTGACTCCTCTCAAGGAAATCAGATATGGGTTCTCCAGTCACAAAGGCTCCATCTGTCAATACTTGAATGAGCCTTGGGGGCCTCCAGGAGAGAATGAAGCCTGCCTCTAATCACACTCCAGGTAGATGAAGGAACTGTAAGATTTGTGTTGTCTTAAGCTATTATTTTATTCATTTGGTAGCAATTAAAAAAACTAATATAATGTCAAGCATAATGGCATGTGTTTATAGTCTCAGTGACTTGGGTGGCTGAGGTGGGGAAGATCACACAAATTCAAGAGTTTTAGACCCATTTGGTCAATAAAGCCAGATTCAAACAAACACCCGCCACCCCCCCAACCTGTTATAGCCAGCAGCTTCATTACTGGAAAATAGTGACACAGCATCTCAAGCATAGATTTGAGCTTGGAATCATGAAAGTAGACGGAGTTTCCAAAACAAATGCAGCAAGCAAAACACTGCATGAGATTCTCTGTCACCTCCCCCTTCCTTCTTTTCCCCCTCTTACTTTTACAATACTAAGAATGGAACCCACATGCAACACCACCACTGAGTCACATCCCCAGCCAGATTAGAGATTTTTAACTCCAGCAGTTTCCATAGGATTCACAAACAGCTCTGGCCCTGGGGGTGGGGGGTAGCTGCAACTCCAGGGAACTTGGGGATGATGTACTTTAAGGCTAAGCATGCCATTAAAAAAAAAGTTGCAACATTATCATTTTATAGAAGTTTATAGAGAGCCAGAAGGATGGGATTACCTGTCCCAAGACAACAGGATAGTCAAAAAATCACTTTGGATGCTTCTTGCTTGTGTACTTACCACGGCCTGGGAACTAAGTGGCTTAATATACCCTAGTGTTAGTAGTCTCATGAGCCTACATATTGTATATCCTTACAAGCTGCGGCATGCAGTAGCTAAGCATGTAACAGAAACCCAAGGATCCTTTACTCAGTTCAAAGCAGTAATTACATCAACAGCTAGGGACAAAGAGCAAACCACCATCACAATGGAAAAGCCCCTCCCAGCCACCTAGTGGCCCTGGGAGAAGCACCCAGGTACTCTTAAAAATCGCACAGAACTTCAGCTTCACCTCCCTCTCTTTGCAACTTGTTCCAGGACCCCAAATCCCTGGTTCATCCCGATATTCCCACCTTAAAATCCATTTGATTTGGGTTTCTCTTTCAACCTGCCCAGTAAAATGGAAGGTTTTCCATATACAGCAAACTACACGCCAAAAAATTTCAGCTTTTTTGGTGCATAATGAGGTAACTCCCTCTTAGCCTCCACAGGCTGTTAACAGCTAATGTGAGCTCCCTCGATTGACATCCTGACATCTGTGTGTCTGCTCTGGAGAGGCCGCGAAAAGATGGCCCTGGGGTTGGGGGAGGTCTCCTTAACAACTGCAGTTTTCCACATTCCCGGAGGCCAACTTGAGCTTTTCCGGGGGCAACCTTAGTGCTCACCACCACCCTATGAAGTAAGGCTTTTCCCTTTACTGATGAGGGAACAAGGTTAAATAGCTGCTTCGGCTACCTACGAACGAAAACAAAGGACACTCACTGCCTGAGGTTCTTTTCAAAGTCCGCCCTGAGACTGAAAGGTGGCACCGGCCGATGCACCAAAGATATCTGATAAATAAGTTTTAAATGTGGACCTTGGCC